GCTGTTCAGCTGCTCTTCGCTTTATTTTCCACTTTCAGCACTTTAAAGAAAATAATTGCAGAGGGTAGAAATATGTGGCTCTTAACCCTCCCCCGCACCCATCATCTATGCCTGCAAGCAAGCCATCAAGCTTGTGCTCGACAGTATATGCATGCTAAAAATGAGAGGGTGTAGCACACAGCCCTAATCCTCTGTGGCTGACATTTCAGCGCCCTTCTGAGTCCTTCCCCCCTTCACACACACTCTCTTTTGACATCAAATATATTTAGTGCAGCTGAGTGAACTGTCCTTAGATCTTCCTAGGAGAGGCTGAGCATAAGCTAAGAGGCATGTAGTTTAGCAGCATATAAGTCATGTATCCCTCTGTTCACTATTCACAATTCTGTTAAAACTTGCACAGCACTAAGGATATGCTCTGACTGGATGTCACCTCAGGGAATAAAGTCATTTATCTAGATTACTTTTTCCTCTTCTTCCTTGGCTTTTAATTCCATACCTACAGGCAAGTCAGTAAGTCATTGCTCACATGTATTAAATGTATTTAAGGGGTGCAGGCCTTCAGGGACTGCCTGGTTCTGTTGCAGTCCTTTTCACTTAGCCTTGACAATGGATTCTTTCTTCTGATACAGGACATTTTCTTTTGCTGCTTTGACCTTAAGTGTTGGTTCTTTTCAAAACTGAAGATGAAGGTTATGTAAATTATGGGCAGTTCTGAATCTGTAGCGTGAGTGGAAATCCTTACCCTGGCCTTATTCACAGCAACGTCTCATGGCTGCACACCTATGATGCTGTAGATAGAGAGTCTTCATGCTGCCCTAGAGCATGCAGACAGGTAACCTGGTCTTGTGGTTTTTTTGGGTTTTTTTTTAACCAGATCACTACTTTGTAGATAAGTCCTTGACCAATCAGGCTGGGAGGAGACAGGCAGAACTGTGACTCTGTGCCATTTTTGACAAATTGGAGTGTAAAATGAAGGGCTGCTACTGCTGATACAGGTGATTGATAATCCACCTTTGCTACTATATATGGATGGTTGGTAGCAAGACAACTTAGGTTATTATACTCAATTCAGATAATCGTGTAATAGAATAGGTAATAGCATATGGAAGCTAAACATGAAGAAGTTTTGTTCCAAAAAGGTCTGAGGTGTTTACATGACTGTATCTGCTGAACTGTTAGGAAGGTGAGACAGGCTATCACTAAATAGGAGAACAGTCATATCCAAATGCATTGAAAGACCACAGCAATATCTAATTTGACTAGCTTTTACAGGAAAGCAGAATTTCACCAGATGAGAAGTTCAAAACGAGTTCCTTTTTTCACTGAGCTGGACCACAGCTTTTTAGAAAGATTTGAATCTGAAATCCCTTGAAAGTTCCAAGTGATGGATGAAATTTCTCAGAATTCAGCTGATTAGATCCCGTGGTGAATGAATTCTTTGCAAAAAATGTGCACCTAGTTTCTTTCCCTGCAGTCACTGAATCTAACTGGTTTTTGTTTTATTAGATGAGTAAATGCAATATCTGCTATATATAGGTATTCTTAAGCTGTTCATATGACTTTGTTTGTTTCAGACTAAAGTCTTGCTGAACCTGTCTCTCAATATCAAAATCCATTCTTGGAGTACTGTGAACCACTGCGTTGCTCTGGTGTCTTGGGTTGCTTTGTTACCTTGTTTACGAGCCTTGTAAATGCATGGTTTTCGGCCACTTAATTTCCCTCAAACTATGTTTATTGCTATTCCTGGCTGCCTTTAACATCGGAACTACTCGTATTTACTGTCATATGCTTTGGTCTTCTTGTATATGCTGGGTGTCCTGGAATGATTTTATGTTCTTGCTCAAAAGAAGTCTTTGAGTGGATACACTCATGATTTGCCATGTGAATCCAAAAAAGTTTAGCTTTAAAGTATCCTTGGCTGCAGTACATGGACCACCTCACAGTGCTATCGGGTGCCATGCTAGCTTCACCCTGCCCTGATGCTGCAACCCTACCCTGGGGTGCTGCTGGGTACATGAGCCTGCTTTTTCCATAGCTAGGGGCCTGGTTCCTTCTGCTTATTTTGCCTGCCTGTCTTGTTGCTCTTGGATCTTGCTGGCAACACTCCAAAACCCAAGGTCTCTCTCCTTCTTGGAGCAGGAACTTGAATGAACCAGGCAGCTTTCCAGAAAACCCCTTTTTGCACCTCCAGTATTTCCTCATATCGTAACTTCTGTTTAGCATAAGTAAAACTTAACTTAATCTAAGCTGTTTGTCTGTAATGTACTTTAACTTACATGGGAACTTATTTTGAAAGGTCATCACATAATAGTCCCTATATTAAACTAAACGCTGCATCTGGGCATACTAAGATTTTGGATTTTATGACAGGTTTACAGGAGTATTGTTCTACCCAAGGGCATGCATGTCTTGGTGGAGTATCTCCTCTTCTTTGGACTGAAGATTCATGAAGTCTCTTCAGTCGCCTTTTTTCCTAAGGGCTCCCAGGCACGTCCTGGGGATACTGCATTACACAGAAAGGAACAGGCATTTTCTTGCCACCTGTCCGAGCTGTGTCACACAGTCAGTCTCCGTGCTGTTCTTCTAGAAAGTCTTTCGTCCAGTTTGACAGCAGCATGTGCCAGGGGAGGTTTAGGATGGATATTAGGAAAAGTTTTTTCACCCAAAGAGTGATCGAGCACTGGAGTAGGCTCACTGGTGGAGTAGTTATGGCACCAAGCCTGACAGTATTCAAGAAGCATTTGGACAATACCCTCGGATAACATGGTGTGAATTTTGGGGTTGTCCTGCACAGAGACAGGAGTTGGACTCAGTGATCCTTCTGGGTCCCTTCCAACTCAGGACATTCTATGATTTCTCCTTTCATAGGGCAGTAGAGGGTCTATTCAAGAGCCCTGAACCTGCTTCCTCTTTGCACTCTATTGATACCATCTTCTGCTCCTTCCAGGGCAGATCAACCTTCTGGTTTTGTGTCTGCATTTTTTAATAAGCTATTTGATCAGGTTTGCCATCTTGTTGCCTTTCAGTTTCCTGCTTTAGTCTTTTGGACAAAATATTGTGTCTGCAGATAAATGCTGTTCCTCCCAGAGTCTGTAGAAGCTATGTCAGTACAGATTATGGACAAAGTGTCTTACCATGACCACTTTCTTATGTCTGAATGAGAAGGGGTGGGGGGGCAGCATCTTTGATTTGGGAAACAGAACACTGGCATTGGCAAGTCTGAATTTCAGCTGGTGGCATTAGACATTAGGGCATCTCAGATGATGTTGTTTTCTTTTTAACAGAACTATCTGATTGACCCTTTGTTGTTATTTCTTGATGACTTTTCCATGGTTTCCTAAGGTTTCACCAAGGTCCTGGCAACAGGACCATCTTCTTTGCAGGTAAATAATACTCCTGATCCCCTCTGTCAGTCAGTGGGATAAGTAATCTTGACTGTTCTGTGTGACACTCTTTCTATCAGCTTTGGGCTTTCTGTCAATGGCTAGAAGTCATGCCTTGCTCTATCTCAGTGTTCATGGTTCCTTAGGTCAATATGAGATGTGAAAGATTGTCTCTCTACTGAGTAAATTGCCTGGTTTTGTGGCCTCTACAAAAAGCGTCTTGACTCTTCACCTGCTGTTTCATGCAATAGACTGTTGGTATGGGCCTGGCAGCATGAACGTTTGCTATGCTTGTATGGATTTTGCCTTTGGCCCTCAGCAGTGATTCTGCATGGAGTGCAAGTACTTAGGTAGTGAGTTGCTGTTCCTCTAACTGTCAAGCTGCCTTTCACTGGTTTGCCTGATTTGCAGAATACTTAAAGTCTTAGAATCACTGAATCATTCTTGTTGGAAAGGACCTCAGGACATCATCTAATCCAATTCAGACCTTCAGAAAGCATGTGTAGATGATTACAGACATCTCACCACCCTCTTTGACATCAACATTTGATGGGAACCATGCCTTTCCAGCTCCGACAATTTTGGACTGTTGCCAGCAAGGTCCACTTCTTGGCAGTTCATTTGCCCAACTGTTCTAGATTTCTCATAGAGAATCTATCTGTGAATTTGAACCATAGATGAGAAGTCAAATCTGAAGACTTGGTGTGCTGCCACTTGAGTAACTCCTCTGAAGAAGTCCTTTCAGAACTAGCCATCTTACTGCCAGCATCTACAAATATGCTGTGTGTCTTATCTGAAAAGGCCAGGGGTCCCTCTCAAATGCACTTTTCTACTGATGGTCAAAGATCAAATGTATTTTGTCCTTTTCCTCCAATCCCTTTCTTTTATGGGCTGTCTGAAGCTTGTTGAGAGTGTGTGCACTGGTAATTCTTTTTGCTTAAGCTTGGCCTTGACAGCTCTGGTTCCCAGGCTTGCTTTGGCTGTCCATGTAACTTGAGGTTTCAGCCACTTTTGAACCTCTTGTCCAGGACTTGCAGTGAGCATTTCACCTAGCTCACCACGCAGGTGGTATCTGGTTCTCTAGGGTAGACTGTTTATGACCTTCTTCGGTGAATGTCACAGAGAGCAGGAAGGTACTAAACAGATGATACACTCTGCTCATTGCACCCATAGCATTTTTTTTAATCTTTGTCTAGTCCAACCCCCTGCTCTGACCAAGTACGATCAACTAGAACAGGTTGCTTAGGGGCGTGTCTGGTACGTCACTGTCCCTCTTGTGCTGGGGACCCCTGAAGTGGACACTGACCTCCAGGTGTGGTGTCACTGAGAAGGGAAGAATCATCTCCCTTGATCTGGAGCAAGGTTCCACCTAATGAAGCCCAGGATGCTGTTGGCCATCTTTGTTGCAAAGGCCTATTGCTGGTTCACATTCATCTTGTCCTCCAGGACCGTCAAGTCCTTTTCTGCAAAGTCACTTTCCATCCAGTTGTCCCCCAGCCTGTACTTGTGCATGGGGTTATTCCTGCCTAAGTGGAAGACTTTGCATTTCCCTTTGTTGAACTGCATGACATTTGTATTGGTCTGTATCTCCATCCAGTTGAGGTCTCTCTGAATGACAGCACCATCATCAAGTGCATGAAACACACCTCCCAATTCTATGTCGTCTGCAAAATTGCAGAGGGTGCATTCTGTCCCCAAATTCTGTTTGTTAATAAAGAGATTAAACAACATTGGCTCCCATATGGATGCCTGGCATATACTGCTAGTGACTGGCCTCCAACTGGACTTCATGCCACTGATCACAACTTTTTGAGTCCAGCAGTTTAACAGGTTTTCAGTCCATTGTGCTGTCCCAGTTATTTAGTCTATACTTACCGGTAACTGACACTTTGTGTGACCACCTGGAGTTGTGGTCATGCCTTTATAAAGTACTAGCCATTCTGGAAACATCCAGAAATATAGGCAGCAAGGTGGTTGAGTTTTCGTAGGACTGTAGGATGAATGAGGTCAGAACGCACCTCAAGATGTCATCTAGTCCAACCTCCTGCTTAAGCAGGATCAGCCCATGGTGAGACCAGAGCCCTCTGAATGGGGAAGAGCTGAGACCCTTTGCCAGGTGAGAGTCACATGCTTAGTCTTATAGTGTGGATTACACCTCTGGATTCCTCCAGAGAAAGGGGACTTCCAAATAATCAGTGTTCAGGGTGTGTGGCCCACGTGCACGTACTCCTATCCCAGTTGTCTTCAGCTGTTCTGATAGAATCATAGATCATTTAGGTTAGAAAAGACCTTTAAGATTGAGTCCAAGCGTAAACGTAACACTGCCAAGTCTACCACTAAAGTGTGTCCCTAAGCACCACATCTACACATAGAAACGTGAGAACTGAAATAGTGACAGATATGCTTTTCTCTTGTAGCCAAGTGTTGACTGGGAGAGATTGTGGAGAAGATTTAGACTAGAGGGATGTTGCAAACACCATCGTTCTGGTCTCCAGTTATGTGGCACAATAGTCCCTCTCTTAGTACCTGTGTATTCTACATTTCTGCTTTAGGTGGTGAGGTAGCTGTTCTTTTCTTCTGGGATTCTGAACATTACCAGTATCCCTTTGCATGTTAAAAACCCAACTTAATAGCTCAGTGATCGTCAGTAAGTTCCTTTGAATCATCTTGTTTCAGTGAATTTATTTTTCTGATCTAAAAATAGTTCAGTATTTGGTATTGAGGTATTGGCCTTGCTGACATATTTCAAAGTGATAGGAAGTTACACATTTTTAGGCTTTTCTTAGCACAAAGCAGGAATTCTCATTGGCTGTTTGTTCTCTGCCTGCATCACTGGTAATACTGCTGTTGTTTTAGGATTTATTTTCTTCCAGGCTGTTCTTGAAGACGTTTTTGTTGACCTCGGTTGCAGTGGTTATGGTTTTAAATAGATGGCTTCTTCACACCTGGAATTGGTGGAAATTTTCCTTTAGGAATATAAAACATGGTAGAGGAGTTCAAGAGCCCTTGTTTGGCCTCTTTGATGGGAGGCCAGAACACATGCTGAAACTTTGCTTTCCCCTCCAAGGATAAGTCCCATATTTAATAGGGTACTTGCCTGTTTATTACCAAGTGGGTGACAGCTGGGAATCTTACAACCAGTCAAATTCTTAGTAGCATTTACTGAATGTTTGCAGAATGAACCCACTGTATTTTTGGCAGTGTATTAAAGATACAAGGTGTTCATGAAGATTACAGAATGAACAGAAGTTGAAGTTTCTAGGCCAAATGAACTGTTGCAATACAACACAAAAATACTCCAAGAACCAATGGTCTCTACTTTCCAAATGTTTATAGTCCTAACTCACTGTATCTTGGTGTAGCGATGGCAGTTTGCTTAGAGTCTTTCACATTAGAGAGGCTCAACAAGCCCATGCGTCAGCACAAAGGACTGATGTAGTTACACCTTGTGTCTTCTGATGGCAGCCGAAGTCTCTGTTTCCTTAGTAGCCCTTCTTCCCACTTCCCTGTTGTCTCTATCTTGGTGTTGGGGGAAAGGCAGGACTGACCTTTTGGGAATGTTCCTGGTTGATGGAACCACAGCACGAGTCGTTACTGCAAGTTCTGGAAGCCTTGTGCTATGATTCAGCTTTCCCTTATGTGGTAACCCACCACACGCAGCTCCTCTCCTCTGGTGCTGTGGTGTTGGAGCTGTAAGGGGTAAGGAAGACAAAGGAAAATTGAGGGCATCTTCAGTCCCTTCTGCTCCGGACTGTGTAATTTGCTGCCCCAGCTCTGGAAAGGGGCAGATAAAAGCAGACACAGAGTGGGCCTGGCTGGGGCACAGCCAGGCTAGAATTGGCAATGTGGGGTGAAGCTAGTGTAGAGATTGCCATGAAAACAGAAGTACCTGATAGAAATGCTTGTGTGTTTCCAGTCTGGCTCATCCCTGTGCTTGGCACTGGTGAGTCTGCACCTTGAGTACTGTGTTCAGTTCTGGGCCCCTCACTACAAGAAAGACCTTGAGGTGCTGGAGCAAGGCCCGAGAAGGGCAACAAAGGTGGTGAAGGGTCTGGAGCACAAGTCTGATGGGGAGCGGCTGAGGGAGCTGGGGTTGTTTAGTCTGGAGAAGAGGAGTCTGAGGGGAGACCTGATCACTCTCTATAATGACCTGAAAGGAGGGTGTAGTGAGGGGGGGTTGGTCTCTTTTCCCAAGTAACAAGCGATAGGACAAGAGGAAGTGGCCCCAAGTTGTGCCAAGGGAGGTTTAGATTGGATATTAGGAAGAATTTATCCACTGAAAGGGTTGTCAAGCACTGGAACAGGCTGCCCAGGGTGGAGTTACCATCTCTGGAGGTATTTAAAAGCCATGTACATGTGGTGCTTAGGGACGTGGTTTAGTGGTGGACTTGGCCGTGCAAGGTTTACAGTTGGACTTGATGATCTTAAAGGTCTTTTCCAAACTAAATGATTCTATGATCCTTTAGCTACATGAGCATGCTAAGTTTGTGCTAACCAGCTTTTTATCTTGAAGCAGTGTTGTATCTGCACACTACTTAGCTGCAGAACTTCTGGACAAGCAGGCTGATCTCTGGCCTGGCCAAGGCACAAGCGGAGCAAACACAGACACATGCATCTCCAGCTATCTTTGTGGCCTCATTTTCCTATTGGGCTATTTGGAAGGTTGCATCACATTAATGGAGTTCTGTTTCGTTTGGTGTTTAGATGGATCCTGAGTATCGGGTGAAAAAATTCTTGGCTCTTCTGAGAGAAGAAGGAACGTAAGTACTTTTATTTTAAAGCATTGTTTAAAATTCTCTTCTCTGCTCAGAAACAAGCATCTCTTTGAGGGGAAACTGCAGTGTGGTGTATCTGATCTCATTGTTGACCCCTCCTGTATTTACAGAACTGTGTATTGGATCAGTTCTCCTTGCAGCTATATGCCAGTTGTTTTGGGAGGGGGAAACTCCTGAAGACTTTTTGAGAACTTGCATGCCTGAATTCTCTGCTTTTCTTAATTTACCTGTGACTTTAAAATTTAAGTGAGATATTGGACCACAATTTAGCTTTCTTTAACTGAAGTAAATCAGAAGAGATTCTGCTAGAGTTAAAATCCAGCTGTTTATCTAAAATCTGGAACTTTGATTTCTTGTATTTCTCCTGTCTGAGAGAAGGATGTCCTACTCTTTCCACTGTAGGTATCACAGGGAATAGTTGAGCCCATTCTTGACAGTGGCATCTCCTAGAAAATGACTTTCTAATACATGTAGGGCAGTACCTGTGCTGGGGAAACTCACAACAGTATCTATCCTGGCTACATGTGAGTGGGTTCCAGTGTGTGCTTGATGCTTTTATACATGTGCATGCTTTCTTGATGGATTTGGCTTCTTTTGCAAGAGTTCCTTCCCTAGACTGAAGGTGGACCAAGTGCAAGATCAACAGCTGGAAAAGTGACCAACCTGGAGAATATACACTGGGATCTTTACTCTTCTGTGTTCAACACGCTGGACAAAGTGAAATGCTCCCCTGTTTCCAAGAACCCAATGTGGAATCTGCATGTTTAGTGCAATACAGTATCTTTATTCTTTGTCTTTAATATACTGATGTCATGTGGAAGTGTCTTCTAGAACACTGTGCTTCTGTTTCTGTGCAGGCAAGGCTGCGTTCTCATTTGATTTTAGCATGGGGGGAATGTCCTGTAAGTTTTGAAGCTAACGCTCACTTGTGTCCAGCATCCAGTTGCTATGTCAGGAAAGAAATCCTGACTTCTAATAAAACCTGACAGTCTGTGGTGAAGGCGTATTAAAGTACTACTCTGTCTTATCCTGATCCAATGAATGCTTTCTTCTCATGTCATTGTATACCTCATTGAACATTGAGCCAGGCTGATAATGTAAAGACAATGCCCATAATAGTTCAGCTCCAGAATTGCCTTGATGCTAATACCTGCTTTCTTTTATATCCAGGTGTTTCGTGACCTGATGAGAGAGACTGGCTAGTGGCATTAGGGACTGGAAGAAGGCAGGGAAGTATGTTGATCAGAGTAGAGGAAGCTTCCAAATCCAGTATTTAAAGCATCAAAGCTTGTTGTTAATTCAAACGTTACCAAAGGTTGAAATTCCTCCTTAGAGACAGAGAGGAAGCCAAGCTCTGCAGATGCATGAGATATATGTTGCCATGTTTTTGCACTGAAGTAAAGGAATGTATCAAACTTTGCTATATGGTCCTTCCCCAATAGTCATCTCGCGTCAATAAGATGCTGTCAACGATGACTGCATGAGGCTACTCACCTCTGGTTCTTTGGCTCCACACATTTAATAAGGTTCGTGGAACATACCTCAATTTGGTGGGGCATGAATCAAAGCCATTTATGAGATCTTAGTCAGTGTAGCTTCCTAAACTTGACCAGACACGCTGCTAAGGGCTAGCAGCTTGTACCCAAAATGGTGTTCCCCGGGAAAGAGGGTGCTTCACATTCTTCAGGCCCAAAAGTGAAGGTACTGTAGTCTTTAGTGCATACTTAACAGCAGTTGGAGTATTTTAGTCACTTCGCTCTGGTTTCTTTTCCTTTGGCAGTGCTGTTGCATTGTGATGACATTGTGAGTCCCAGTGGTGGTTATTCCCTCTCATTTTGTGTATGATCTTGTGAATTTATTTGTTCCTTTCTTTCCTCTGCTAGTCCTAGTGGCAGCAGCACACATTAACTTATATTTCAGAGTAAATGATATAAACCTTATTGTGTCTTTGTCCAGAGCTATGTTGATGAATAAATACCTGGTTTAATTGCACATTCAATGGATTCAATAAAAAGCACAACTACTTGTGATGATCTGGGAGACATCTGTGTCTTTGGTCCTAGTCGAGCAGAGGTGTGTATATAGAGTGCTGATGTATGGCATGAAAATAGCAAAGCTATTCCCAGACTGCTGATAGCCAGAGGGATGCTCAGTTTGTACCTAAGCATGGATGGATTGAATGTATCCCCAGCCTTGGATAGCTTGATCACAGGTAGTCTTAAAGGAATTGGCTGAAAAGACCTCTGGTCCAACCATTCTAGACTTTTCTGGACCTTGCAGTGCTGAGGAAGCCCCAAAGATGCGTGCGTGTGTGTGCGAGTGAGATCTGTCACACTTGGAAGAAGGCCATGTTGGAAAACCAGGGCAAACTGTTGAGTGTGAGTTCCCGCCCATTCCAGCCTCCTCTGAGATCCCCATCCAAGATGTTTCCTGCAGGTGACAGAAGAGAATGACTCCTGGCAGCACCTTCCCGCTGCATTTTCTCCATGATACACTGCCTGAGCAAGAGTAGCTTTATAGGGAGAACTATATTGCTTTGAACAGTAAGGGCCAAATTCTTCATCCCCTTCATTACCCTGTTGCTGCATTTTCCTGAACCTTTCAGAAATGTAACTGTCTCTAAAATTGAGTTATTTGTTAACCAAAGACAAATATATTTCAAAGTGTTGGGATGGGTTTTAGGGGGATGGAGCGTGGTGGAGAAAGGCTTGGGATGATGGGCAGACATACAGATAGCTTCCGCTCATAAAGCTGTTAAGCTCAGAACATTCCATGAGGCCGGACTTTTTGGTTGTCTGGTTTGTTAGCAACACATCGTTGGTGTTCATGTCGCTTTGAAGGCATCACCGCTGCCATCCTGGAGGAGCTGGCACTGGCGGGAGCAGACTGTCTGCAACATGGTGCGGTGAAGCGGGGCTAAGCATCATTCATGCACAAGCACTGTGATGTTTCAGGCAACACTCTGCGAGAAGACAGATGTAATTGTTTTGTGTATACATTGGGAAGCAGTGTAGGAATATAGAAATTCTTTTTTTTTTTTTTTTTAACGCTTCAGATAAGTATATTTGAGACCAGTGCTGTGGAAAATGCGTGCATTTAAGAGCATCGTTAAAGTATGAGAGATGTTGCAGAAACACCCAAAAAATTATTCATGGACAGGAGATGTTTTTGTATGAGAAAATTTGGATCTCAGTCTGTCCAAACCATTGAAAGGTGATTCAGCGACAACCTGCAAGTACATGGGTGGGGGGAGAATATGAAGTCTAAAGCTTATGTGCTGTATGCATGCTGATGGCACTCTCTAAATAAAAATCTTAGCATTCAGCTGTAAAATCTCCTGTATTTGCTACATTTACCATCATTGTCTTGCATTTGTATGACTGTCACTGTGCATAAGTAGCTGGATGACGGACCACCACTCTCGTAGATATCGTTCGGCAGGACTTAAAGGACCTTGAAGCAAACCACACAAGCTGGCAAGTGCATATTTTTGGTTTTTTACCTTTTCTTTAATGGTGTACCACAAAAAATGCAAGTTGAAATATATTTTTCTCCAAATATATATATTTATATAATATATAATCTTAGTTAACTCAAGTATATACATTGTATAATAAATAATGCTTATAAAAAGAGAAATTTTCTGAATATAAAATAAAAAAAAATCGACCTCTACAACTTTATACAAAACTTTGGATACAGCAGATTGATGGAAAAAGATCTTCCATTCAGTGCTAGAATACCTGGCTACAGTAAAATAATTACAAGGCAATAAATGTTCTATTTAATATTAAATACCTTTTCTTGATCAAACAAACAAACAAGGGATTTTGTTTAAAGTCAGATATTTGGAGTCTTTCCAGACACAGAATTTAATATATAGTTTTAAATAGAATGCATATCAGAAGACGGCTTATTTCTGCATCGGGGGGGGTTCTTAGGCCTGTGATCTTTAATTTTAGAAAGCTAATGCTTCTCAGGCTGCATGAATCCAGGAGTGCTTCATCGTGCTGTGCAGAGGAGGGACCAAGAATTTTGCTCTGATTCTCTCCAGCTGCAGGTTTGAGTGATTGGGCTATGTTCTGTGCTCCACGTGAGGGGTCTTTCACGTATTTTATTGCTGTTTGCAGTAACTTGTACTGCTGTTTCTCATAGACGAAGAAAGTGAGTGGAGTAGAAGATACGGCTTTAATGGTTTCGACATAGATCTATGTTAAATCGGAGATGCATGAGAAGTGGTAGTGGGACATGGTTATTTGTCCTTGTCATCTGTGGAGGAGCCCACCAAGACAGAAATAATTTTTTTTTTTTTTTTTTTTTTTTTATTTTCAAGGGTCAATATGCCATGAAAACAAGCCCAAAATGAGGGGGCATGTGTTCAAGGAGGGGGATGTGGCTTGGGAAGCAGGTGGAGGGATGAACACTGATTATTCTAAGCTGAAATGGGTCATGGGATGTGTGAGGCCACACCTGGAGCCCAAATCCCTGCTAATGGTACTGAATTTCTGTGCTTGATGTGAACCCCTCATGAATGAATTGCTGATAAGAAATCCTCTGGGAAGGAAAGGACCTGCTGGGATTGTGCTGTCGGATAAAGGTGTCCCTTCCCTATCTGCCCTTGCCTCTTTCGCTGATGGGGGAAGGCTGATGAGAAGGCTTGGACAGAAATTTCTTCTTGCTATGGCTTCTGTCTCCCTGGCCGTTACTGATGCTCAGAGCTGGTGTAGCAGCTTGTCTGGCAGGTACCCTGTCCCTAGAGAGATGTTCTGAGCTCACTCTGGGATATAAAGTCATATTAGGGAATGGCTAGTAAATAGGTGAATCAACTGGGTGGATTTGCCCATATCCTTAAAAATCTCTCTTGGGCAGCAGCATGGCAAGGAGGCTGCTGGAGTAGTGATGCGTCCCCATGTAAGAGGTGACAGCTTCACCATGTGTGCTCTGCTGTTATCCTGGGCCAAGTGCCAGAGGATCAGCTCTGGGCTTAGTTTCCTGCCATCTTCTTCAGGGAGATTATACGAGATGATCTGGGGCTGTGGGGAATAGAGAGGGCAGAGGGGAGGTGAAAGGAGAGACTGGCTGTAAGGCATTGTTCTTATGCTCAAACAGGTTTGTTTCTCCAATATCATCTCCTCGGAGCAGGAAGGAAGGACCCTGGCTGATGTGGGGAGCTGACTCCTTTCCTTTTCCTCACCACATCTACTGAGACCAGGATGGCCATGCCAGCAGGCAGGGGAGCCTGTATTTGCTCACCTTTTGCTGTGTAAAATTCATTTCCACCTGAAACCCCTATATTGGCATCTACATGGACCAGAGCCGTGGAGGAGTACAGGGCTGGATGCTCGGTGCGTACTGTGTGAGCAGCACACTGGCTAATGTCGCCGTGCCTCTCTTGGACTTCTGCTGTCCCTGCTTCTCCCCAGACAGTCTGTCATGCCAAACAGCCTGGGAGAAGTCAGCAGATCAGTGATCTAATGTGTCTGCAGCGCCAGGTCTAGCCTTGGACCGCCTTATGTGGGTGAGATGCTGAGAGCCTTCTCTGCAGCGCTGGTGCTGGCTATGTGAGGGTGTCTGCCCTGACCAAGGGCATTAGGATTTTTTTTTTATGCCATCCTCTGAAGTGTGAGGCCACCATGTGGGGATTGATCACAGGGTTGATGGACCCCTTGGCCCTGCTCTGGAGCAACCTCCCATCAGCTGGAGACCTACCTACGTTTACTTGCAGGTGTGGACGTCATAGACGCGTATACACTCCTGGCAGCTCACGTAGCAGCACCAATGGAAGATGCAGTGACACTTCTCTTTCCGTTTCTCAGTCCTGGTGTTGTGGCCACGACCGCAGCACAGCAGGTCACAGCCATCGATCCCATGGGAGGTGACATTACATGTTCTGTCCCTTGTCCCAAAGGAGCCTGTCTCTGGGTTGGGCTCACAAAAATTGGGGGAGTTCTCATAGTAGACCAGATCCCGCTCTGTCGGTGGCTTGAAAAGAGCATACTTGGCTCTAAGAGTTTCGACCCATCCCCGAGATTCTCTGTGCTTTTCAACCACCATCTCAGAGGCGCTGTCATATTTATCTTTCAGGTAGTCACCGATTGCCCGGAAATCAGGCTGGGCC